TACAATCATCGTCTCGAGTGGCTCCAACAGAGGGACAATGACGAACGGTCGGAGTGGGTTTCCCGTTTTCGGGATAGTCAGAAGAGCCTAGGCCGTGTGATCCAAGAAGTTTATGCCATGCGCGATGCCCACTGGTCAGTCCCGGTTACCACAAGCGGAATCCCCTCGAGTCGTTCCACACCAGAGCCAGTCACCCCAGTGAAGCCCGACTCCAATCGATGGACCCTGGGGAATCCAATCAATGGGCGCCAGGTGGCCAAGATCCTCAAAGATGGCACACGCCTCTGCCAGGCGTTCCAACATGGCCAGTGCAAGGCCAAAGCCAACTGTGCCAATGGCCAGCACCGTTGTGGGTTGGTCCTGCGCAAAGAGCGCGCCTGTGGCGCCCCGGGGCACGGCGCTGCCGCCTGTCGGGGCGGGAAGAAGTGATGGGGCCCCGAGGGGGAGGATGGGACGGACTCCCCCTTAGGGGACATCGATGCTCCCCGTCCCTTGGTTGCTGACCTGTTCTGTGGGCCCAACCTGCCACTATCCAAGGCTTTCCTTTGGTGCGGGTGGCGCACCCTGTCAGTCGACTGGATGTTGGACAAGTCTCATGACCTTTCTAATCCACTACGCCAACAGTCCCTACATGAGCAGCTCTCGGAGGTTGACTTCATATGCGCAGCTTTTGACTGCTCTACCAAGAGTCGAGCCAGGGAAATTCCTCGCCGGTTTGAGGACGGCCGCCCATGTCCAGCACCGTTGCGCTCTGAGGAACATCCAGATGGACTGCCGACTCTGCAGGGTCGTGACCTTCAGCGAGTTCGCACGGACAACCAGGCCTGCGAGTTCATCCTCGAGGAGATTCGTCTGCTCGCCGAGCGTGGCGGCGGGTCAGTCCGTGAGAATCCCTGGCGTAGCCTACACTGGTGGGGGTCCACCGAGCGCGCTATGATGGCCACTGGCCGCTGGAAAGACAAGCGGTATGATGCATGCTGTCTGGGGGGAGCTCGTTGCAAGGCGCAGTGCTTGCGTCACAACATTCATGAGATTGAGCAATGGCCGCCGCTTACCTGCCACCATTCTCACGCGCCACACGAATGGACTCCTTACCTTCAGGATGGCCAGACAATCTACCCATCCAGAGAGGAGGCCGAGTACACAGCTGTCTTGGCCTTTGCTATTGCGGTCGCAGCCTCGTGGTGGGCCGGGCGCGTGGGTCGCGCTAAACTGCATGTGCCACGGCTGCCGCAATTCGAGTGTGTCGGAGCCCGTGAACATTGGCTAGATCTGGATCCCCGGGCACTCAGGGAATGGGCGATGGCGCCGCTTGCCCTGGGCATTGGCTTGTATCCCCCAGATCCCAGTGAGGCCGCCCGAATCCCTCGTCGAGCTCAGGTAGATGACGTCCTCATCGAGAAGGGCAAGTTGCCGCACGATCATGTCTACGTGGGCCAGGGCCGTGGTTCACATCGTCTTGCCAAAACCAAGTGGGCCTCCCCAGTCATTCCTGGGCTGAACAGTCAGGCTAATGATTGGTTGTGGTACTATGTTGCCTACCTCTACGAGTCCGGGCTGGTGACCCAACTGCAAGAGCTGCAAGGCAAAGTGCTGGTCTGCGACTGTCCTTTCTGCGACCCTTGTGAGGCTGATGTGCTTGCAGGCCTTTGTTTCGAGGTGAGCCATCCACAGGGCCGTCAGTCGATGCATCGCTTCAGTCGGGGGGGACCCCTCCAGCTCGCCAAGTTCTCCTAGCGAGTATGGCCAGCACGGTCCAGGGTATCCCAACGAGTCCGACACGTTGGTGGAGCCAAGAGGCCCTCGTTCTCGCCTTTCGCAAACTATATCCAGCTCACTTCTTCATGAACGTCCAGTTCCCCATGGTTGAGGACATCATCAACGCTGCCCCGTTCAATGCTTTCCCGGTGTGGCTGCGCAATAGGCACTACGAGACTGATGGCCCTCTGGGCCCGCACCTGGCTGATGCCAACGTTCGCCAGACCCTCCGAACTGCCGAGGGCCAGCAAGTGGGCGCATTGAATCAGCGAGCAGCCCTACCCCCCTTGCTGTCTTATGATCTCAGTCCTGATGAACACTTCGCCCAGGCGCTGGCACGGGGTCGCGACTTGCTACCTAATGAGCTACCAGCCGTGCTGGACCTGGACCTGGCTTTTGCAGCCGATTGCCACACTCAGTACCGAGGTCGTCTCCGAGACCTTCGCCGTGCAGCCGTGGGAGCACTTCGAGAACTTCATCGGCGTTGGTGTGCAGTAGGACGCCATCTACGGCAGTTTCAACCTGTCGCCTTGCAGGCGACCACAGCCACCCGTGACCTCGGCTTTGTCGCGCTGTTGATCTTGCTGACGTCATGGCCTGATGTTACATATCCCTTTGGGCTCATCGGGGGCCTGCCGGCAGTCGGTTATGCACCCTGCTACGGCGTCTTTCCATCTCAGCCTGCCGAACGTATTACTCTTACAGAGGTCCTGGCCGGATGCGAAGCACACAACCATCAGATCTTGTCTACCCTCAAGCCGGGTAAAGATGACCTGTTCCTGTTGGAGCAGTCTACAAAGGACGCGGCACGAGGGTTCTGTACCCCTCCCTTGACGCTGGCACAGTTGCGTCAGCAGCTGCAGGGGCAGCCGTACCGCCTGATCCCACGCTGTGTGATCACACAGTCTTCAGGCAAGCAGCGGATCATCGACAACGCTGATGCAGGAGGACAAACCTTACGCTCGGCCGATGCCAACAAGTTGGTGCTTTGCTCACCCCTACGACCGGCTCAGCACATTAGCCAAGTCCTGCGCCAGATGAGCCCCTCCGAGCGAGCCCAGGCAGCCGCCACCGATACCTGGGAGACAGGTGGAGAAGACTGGCCGGATGCCTATCGCCACAGCCCCATGGGAGCCAGCGAAACGCGGGGATGCGTTGTGACGTTTTGGCATCATGAATGGGCTGCTCCGGCTTTTCAAGTCTACGCCGGTCTACTATTTGGTCTTCCACTGGCCGTTACATCCTTCAATCGGTACAGCCGTCTTGTAGAGGCCCTGGGACGCCGCCTGTGCTATGTCCTGGTTTCGCTTTACTTCGATGATGCATCTATTCAGGACTGGTCTTCGAGCCGGGGTTCGGCTCAATGGGCATTCGGAGCCTTGAATCAGCTTCTGGGCACCCCTTTTGCAGCAGAGAAACGCCAGGCTATGCGCCCCAAGGGGTTGTTTCTAGGCCTTGACCATGACCTTTCGTCCGCACTATCTGGTGGCTTTGTCTCCTTTTGGGCGAGGGAACGCCTGGAAACCAAGTTGAAGGCCATTATCCATGAATGCCGTGCAACTCAAACTCTCAAGCCCGGTGTTGCAGCTAAGCTGTACGGACTGCCTAACTTCTTCGAGCAGGGCGTCTACGGCAGGATAGGATGTGGAGGTCTCCATGCCATCAAGGAGCGTCAGCTTGTCCGAGGTGATCAACTGACTCCAGCTATCGAACAATGCTTTCAAATTCTCGAAGCAGTGCTCTCTATCCATCCGGAGCGTGAACTTGATGTCTGGCCGAGACACCATGAGCGCTTTGTGGCAGCGTCTGACGCTGCATTGGAGATCCCCGGTGAAGGGACAGGTGGTTTTCTCCTCGTCTTCTTCCACGAGGACACCGAGAGCCGGCTAGGATTTGTTTCCTATCTCCCACCGTCCATCTACGTTCTTTGGACCCCAGGAGAGGCTAAGATCGCACAACTGGAACTTTTGCAGGTCCTCATGGCATTGACTACCACACCTGAGCGATTTCGCAATCGCCGCGGCACATGGTACATAGACAACACCGCTGCCTTGATGGCGCTCATCAAGGGAAGGTCAGACAGCCCTGACCTCGAGCACATGAGTCATATGATTCACATTCTATTGTTTTCACTTAGATGTTGGATTTACTTTGAGTGGATCCCCTCCAAATCCAATTGGAGTGACGCCATTTCCCGTGAGGGACATGCGGATCGTTGGCACCACGACCAGGGTTTCACTAGTCGGGAAGCCACATTTTTCGAACCACTCTGGTATTTCCCCTTTTCCGTCACTCTGCGAGTCGGTCTCTTTCTTTGAAGTGCGTTGGGAGAAATGCATTGGGTAGATACATCGCTATGGATACGTCTGGGTGGACGAGTCTCCA